ACTCACGAGCGGATACAGGATGAGATTTTAGGGCCAAATTTAAAACGTCAAAGACTTACTAAACATTATCAAACCAAAATTTAAACCGTATAACTGCGATTAACAACGGTAAAAAATAAACCACAAAAAAATGTCGACATACCAGAAGGGACAGTACAGACACAAAATTAGGACAACATTTGAAAACCTGGAAGGACCGGTCCCCATGAGAACCCTTTTCTTAAAATAAGTTTACTAGAAAAAATGGACCGATTTATTTTCCAAATATAATACGTCCCCGAAGTTGAAATTTGGTCGTAATTTTTACAATTACTGGTCACATTTTGCGCATAGAGACCATAAGACCTTCGGAAACCCGGTCCACATAAAGTCGAGACGTCAGGAGGGTCTCTCCCCTTAGTATCAAGACGAATTGACAGCGTCCCGGTGGCCCTGTTTCACGAGAGGTCGATAAAGGAGTAAGTTTATAAATTCCACACCCCACACGCGCGGCACCACACACACAACACACACACACACACACACACACACACAACACAACACACACACACACCACACCAACACCACACTACACCACACACCACACCCACAAACACAACCACACCACATACTCACCACTCAATCATAGTACCACTGTGGTTTGTCTTAACACGGGTTTTAGTCACAAAGTCGTCAGTTTATCAACACCATGATGTTGGAGTCGAGCGATACTACCTTACAATGTATATCGTATTATTTGAAATCCAGGTACAACCCCATAATAATTATTTGTATTCTTATACAAAGTGTGCAAAGTGGACCACCGAGAACGTCGGTCTTAAAGTTATAGTTAGTTGAAGTAGGGGGGACCTCTTGCACATACGGCGTCTAACGGCGTACCAATCTTTATCAAATTCCTTTATTCTTTTACTTTTTTTTCCAAATCTTTCTTAAGAGATTATAGGCCGTGACATATTTTATTTTTTCACCTTTTCCGTCGATCTTTACATCTGTGCCCATGCTAGTTGTTGGGGTTACACAGTCCCTACTAGTCCACAGACCCAAAGAATTCCTCAAGAAACCAATACATAAGTGTCACTACACTTTGAACTTATGGTATTGACCAAATTATTTTTTAGGGGAAACAATAAACGTCATGAGTCTTAATATTCTCGCAAAAAAACGAACTTACGAATGCCGTACAAAACTCTCACAAACCACACAAGGCGAAGAGAAATCGGAGGAGAGGAGGGCCACGCGAACTCTTTCCCCCAAGCAATCACAGTCGCGACCATAAACTTCCGTGGATGTGCTCACCGAAGCTTTATATGCGGCGAGCGGAGGGCGAGGGTGCTCCTCCTCTCCGAATTGTCCCTTTCGCCACTCCTTTTTGTGAGAGCGATTGACGGATTCGTAAGTCTATGTTTTTACGAAAAGACCATCAATCATTACGTTATAGTGCCCGAGAAAAAGTGAGGAAATTTTGTTCAATACCAATAATTCATTAGTGTAGTGACACTATGTATTTTTCTTAATGGGAATTTGGGTCTGGAAGACACTAAAGAGTAGGAACTCAACCCCAACTAGACATGGGACAAATGTAAAAGACGACGAAGGTGAAAAAAAATAAAGTCGCCTTACCTGTCAAAGATTAGGAAAAAAAGTAAAAATCAAAGAAAATTGTAAGATTTAGGTACGCCGGAGACGCGTATGTGCAAGAGGTCCCCCTTACTTACCTACTAACTTGAAGCCAACCGGCCGTGTGATCACTGCACCACTTTGTATAAATTACAAATTAGTTATATGGTGTAGCTGTATTGTCCAGATAATATCGATAAACACTTGAGTAGATCGCTGGACCTCAACATCAATGGTTGCTAACTAGACACGTTGGACCTAAAAACCGTGTAAAGACAAAACCAACAGGTAGGTACTAACATAAAGATTGAATGGTGTGGGTGTGTGGTGTGTGTTGTTGTGTGTGTGTGTGTGTTGTGGTGGTTTGTTGTGGGTGTGTGTGGTGTGTGGTGGGGTGTGTGTGTGTGTGCGCCGCCGTGATGGTGGAATTTTATAAACTTACTCCTTTATCGACTTCGTTGAAAACAGGGCACCGGACCCTGTCAATTTGTCTGATCGAAGGGAGAGACCCCTCTGACTCTCAACTTATGTGGACGGGTTTCTAGGTTCTATGGTCTCTATGGCAAAAAGTGTGACCAGTAATTGGTAAATTAGACCAATTAACTCGGGACGTAGAAAGGAATAAATCGGGTCCCATTATTCTGAGAACCTAAATTAGAGAAAAGGTTCTTCACTGACCCGGTTCTCCATGTTCATCGTTCTAGTTTGTTTCTGTACTGTCATCTGTGTATGCAACTATTTGTATTTTACGTAATCAGTCAGTTATAGTTTAAGTTTTGTTGAATTTGTAAGTTTGACCGTTAAATTTTGCTAGAATCCTGATAGCTTCGAGTGAGTGTGACACCAGCGTACAAGAGACAGAAAATGTCTACCGGGAACTTAAGGGGGTATCACCTAATTTAAGACTCTCAAAGTCAGGAAAGACATGTAACAAGGTTCGACACTACCCCGTAGATAAATCTTCTACAAAATGTCAAAAAAGGAGTGACACCTTGTCGTAGACTTATTTTAGAAACCCTCGCCGTCCCGGTTAATATCCTGAATAGAAACGTGTTATGTCCCCCGTTTCATAAATAAAGTCGGTGGTTTAACACGTGCAAGAGTGCAAATTGTTTCTTACTTCTCCGGACGATTCAATAAATGTGAGGACGATGATGGGCAGTGGATACTCTCTGTTTACTCTTTTTTTTTAGCTCTTTTAGTGAACAACTAAATTCTTAAATAAACGGTTAAATAACCACCTTTATCATTAACCAGTTATTATTTTCAGTAGAGTTATGAAACAATATATGGTAACAAACGTTACCTGCTCCATATTTGGCCAAAAGCACGGTTCAGAAAGTGTCCAGAAATGTGGACAAACGACCAATAAAACCGGGTAAGGAGGGTACGTCTAGAGGAGATCTCTCACTACAAAACCACGCGACCGTTGTGCCTTAAAGAGGAGTTCCAAAGAACCAACAACTCTAGACCTCTGACCGACCGGTGGAGCTGGAACTTAGAAGAGCTTCGGTGAGGAAGCAACGCCCGCCACCCACCAGAACCCGAGTAACAGTACCGACCTTTTCATGGGTCAGAGTGCAAAGTAGAAGTTACGGGACAAGACTACCTTCCCAACATGAGGTTTTAGAGTGCTATTTGTGACCGGGTAAGTACAAGAAAGGAATGTGCCAGTCAGCCGAACCAGGGAAAGCGTCTTTTTGTCGGGTTTCGGTACGTTACAAGTGGGGTAAAAAGTGCATCCATACACACAAACCTACGTTTGATCAATGTAGGGACTCAAACAAAGAACCAGATGAAATAAAAGTTCATTAAAGCAGTTGAGAATGGCCGATTTGTCAGTGAGAGTTTGCGAGTCTGCTACCACTTTTGTTTGCTGATTTTTGTCCTTGGTCTTTTAAGTCTTTGACATGATCACACATTCAAAATCCTGAACAGTCAGTCCCCCACTGCAATGCAAACCTGAAAGAACGTGTTCGGGCTGACATATATGACAACAATTGATCACAATATTCATCCAAATTGTCTCCAATTATATCCTGAGTGAAAGCTAAAAAAGCCAGAAGGTTAATTGCAGTCGAATTTATTATCAGTTGTCACTCTGTTCATGACAATTATTGTAACCTGTTGTGTAAAACCCAACACTGATCGTTACCATCATTTTACAATACAGACAATCATTTCATATCCTGATTTTAAAAAAAATCTAAAATTAGCTGAATTTATTCTTAATTGACATACTCTACCTTCACTGAAATATCTGAATCATTTGACCTATGTGGGACTGTTGAGTGTTTTGTTTACCTGTAAGGAGCTTCTGAGTGCATACTGTAGCTTTTAACAGTTTGTGATTCAGCCAAAGGTTGAATGGAAAATGTGCTTTTATTTAAAAGTGAGAGTACATCCATTTACTAAAGTGTGATAACCATTGAGATTTACATAATATGCCACTTTACAATTAGCAGCCAAACACAAGCTAGTCGACCATGATAATGATCCTGTTATATAAGTGAGGAGGTTATTTAAAGAGAGCGTCCTTTTTGAAATTGGGGCACAGTTTGGAAGTACATTACCTAATCACTTAATTGAAGTTGAGAAGGGGACATTAGATCTAGTGAACACATGGGTATTGTGAAGCTTTTAGGCCACGTCTAAAACATCTGGTATCGAAACTGTACCCCATGGCACACCATATACTACAAGCCAAATTACATTTTTAGGAATTGTGGGAAGGCTGTCTTTTTTTCCCCCCTGTAGATGTTATGTGTTTAATTCCTATCCTTCCTTACGGCCGCGTGCGTTGCTTCAACGGAGACGCTTCCCATTCACTTTGAATGGGGTGAGGTCAGGCTTTGCCGAACTGCATTGTGGTTCCGTCGCTTTGTCTCCGTTGCTCGCTTCAAAAGTTGAGAAAAGTTCAACTCTTCAAGATTCGACGGAAGCGTCAGCCAATGAAATCATATGCCAGTACAATCGCTAGCCAATCAAACCGCGTGCTTGTGTGTCCAGGGCGGGAGATAAATGTGATTGGTTGTTGGTCGCGTGCCAGACACGCCCACCGGTAAACTTCAACACACGCTGCCGTGTGGACGTGCCGTTACTGTGCAAACTCCCTGTAGTACAACATTTAAAATGGTAATTCAGTTTCCATATGTGCAGATAAAGGTAAATGAAAGGGAATGAAAATATCTATCTGTGGTACATTTTGTATAATGGATGAAATGTTGACGATCATGTGGTTCGGCCACTCTTAAATACAGTTTTAGGCATGCTTTATCTGAAGTCACTGCTCCACTGGGAATATATCCAGCAGGGTATATTTACATGTTATTACTAAAGAGTTAATCCTCTTCTTTGTGTCTTAAATCTCTTCACATGCTCAGAAGAGGCGGAGGCTGAGGAGAGTGAGGAGCCGTTCGTCGCTCCCCCAGGGCTCACTATCCCCCCCGATGTAGAGCTGGTGAGTCTTAAATATCCAGATGGTGTATTGTTGTTTATGCTCTGTTGTGCTCTTATACACAGTAAAAATACTCAACATATAAACGTGCATATGTTCAGTGGTTTTGCACAATAACAGGAACATTTAGGCAACTCGTGAACACTTCCAAATCAACTTTTTGGATGTTAACAAGGGCATGAGGGGAAATGCCTGGCTTTCCCCTTATTTAGAAGCGGATTGGTTTAGGCATGTTCTTTACTGAACAACATGAACATTACTTAGCCTATGAAAATCATATATACATTCAGTATGTGTATATAAACATAACATACATATATACAATCCCATAACAGTTTAGATTTAGCATCAGAAGGTCTAATAGAAAAACATTTCAGAAAAATCTCGGAAACTAAAACTTGATTAACAGGGTTTCCATGAGATATGGTTTGAGGTGTTAAGCCACCCTGACACATCTCATCATTAGATGACAATCCAATCAATAGCAATTCAAGCATTTCTATGTGAACCTGTTCTTTTCCCCCTTCAACTGAAAAGCCTATGTCATTAAAGTGTATTACTTGTTATGTATTACCACACCTCTGCTACAAAACGCCACATATGTAGACATATATCTCTCCACATACAAGCTTTACAATCATACAACATACAATGATACTAACAAGATCAAAACATTTAAATTCATAGCTGTTGCTTTTATTCTGGTGGTTTTCTTTTGTCAGACAATCTTCCCTCCCGCACCCAGAACCCCCAGTGACCCCCTTACACTGACACTTTGTTATGCATGAGGAGAGAGACAAGCTTTAATGCTATGGCATGTGTATACTTTCAGAATATAGCAAGCTGGTTCCAGAACAGCAATAACACACACATGCATTCATACACTGCATAAGAAAGATGCTGCACATGATATGCATATACTATTACTGTCTACTCCCTAGATTGTCAGGAGATATCCTTCTCAGAATATATTTCTATTTAATGTGTCTTTGGTTATTAGAACAAGGGAATTGCATGTCAAAGGTCTTTGGCCCAAATCTAACCTGTACATTGTGATGCATCTTGGACAACTAATTAAAAAGGATATTCATATAAACAAGTTGAATGCGGTACACATTGCATACACTGTTTGTATTGATTTCTCTATTAAACTCAAGGTTTTTACTAGATAACCCCCAGTGCCCACTGCAGAAAATACAATTTGTCAAAAGAGAAATTAAATGCAACAACGGTCCTAGATCAGATTTGGAAATGAAGCCGCAATCAGTGGTTATGCACTTCGGTTAACCTGGCGAGATTCTGTGCTTACAGTACATGAGATAACACAAGGCAAATACTGGCAATCCTATGACCGTTACACGTTAGTTATGTCTTGCTTTAGCGCATTAACACAAGCTCAGTTATACAGGCGTGTCAGAAGATGCTTTTCTTGGGTATATCCCAACATAAAACACGTATTAAACGCCCCCTTTTCACCTAATTGCTAAGTCCATAAAGCGAAAGGCCCTTGTATGTCAGGAAGTCCTTGGCAGCATAGAACACAATAATGTGCAGTTACTGTTAAACTCTGGCATCTTTTTGGCTGCTTTCCTGAAAGCTAGTATTTATTGTGACTTTCATCATGATGAGATATGTGTGTTCTTGTTTGAAAATTGCGGCACTTCTCTGCACTCTCTAGGTAATGACAATGATTAATCATTAAAAGCACAGAAGGGGGACAATAATGAATGAATAATGGACTATTTCTTGTTCCGCTGAATTCCACCTCATGTGTATTTTAAGAATGAATGTCGGCACAATGAACATAAGAGTGCCTGGCATGAAAATGCCTCGGAGCCAAAATGGCTTGTGTCCTTGGTTTAAAGAAGCCATTTATACACTGTGCCATGCATCCTAATGTTATGTGCAGCTGTCTGGTGCTCTCACGCTTATGTGAGAAAGACCTGCATATTTTTCACTTTTGGTAATGAGCCTCTAAATTGCTTCTACAGATGAAAAATTCTCATATAAACTGACATATATAGATGTCAGTTTATCACTCGTGCTAATTCTCTGCCTTTTTCTTCCTAGCCTGCAACCATCAAGACCCATAACATCATCGAGAGGACGGCCAACTTTGTATCTCAGCAGGGGGCTCAGTTTGAAATAGTCCTGAAGGCCAAGCAGTCTGGCAACTCCCAGTTTGACTTTCTCCGCTTCGACCATTACCTCAACCCGTATTACAGACTCATCCTGCGGGCCATGAAGGAAGGCCGATACAACTTCCCCTCCAAGAAGCAGGAGCAGTCGCAGGGCGAGTTACACAACGCAGTCACTGAAACCATCTGGAGGTGTCAGAAAAAGTTCCTACACCCAGTGTGCTCATTACTTTGTCTCTTGCATTCCTCGCTGTAGATTCCAACTCTGATTCAGATGATGATGGGGATGGCAGTTACCTCCATCCCAGCCTGTTCGCCCCTAAAAGGTGCTCTCGCCTGGAGGAGCTTGTGAAGGTATTATAAATAGAGTGTAGGCCACCCAGTGTGGAGCCTTACCTGTTGGATAAAGTTTAAATCATCATATTTATCTTTTTTCTCCTCTTAATTTAGGCTTTCTTAACTGGAAGGCCACCACTGCCATTTAAATTACATGAACATGCTTTTAGTACTTCACATGCCCATTACTGCATTCTCTAATAACTATTCTGTTTCCCTGTCTTCATGCTGTTAAGTGTTTGTGTTAGTTCTTTCATGTGCATTGCCAGCACAGCCATTAGTCTTCACCAGAGCAGCAAGAATGGAAGTATGTTTTTTGAAAGAAACATAATGAGCTCCTTTTTAATAGCAAGCTGTCTGATAGTTGCCTCCCATCAAGAAGGCTTTCTACTTTCAAATCGGCTACTCATTTTCTACTAAGGATTCACAGTTCATATATTACTGGGTTAACTGCTACATTCTGTATATACTGCACTGCAGTTAATATGTTATGAGTTTAGAGAGATTTAAATGATTACTGTAAAATGGTCTTATCTCATGTTGTGTGAAGTGTCTCTTAACATAATGTGAGATAGATTGTTTGAATCTTCCCTTATTCTTCTTCTTCCAGCCTCTACATGTAATGGACCCCGACCATCCTCTGGCAGAACTTGTCAGAAAAACCCGACTGGAAAGGAATGGCGTGGTACCGGTGGTACCGGTGGTTGAGACCAAACCAGAGGAAGTGCCAGAACCAGTTGCTCCCAGCGCACCAGCGCAGTACACTGCTGACCGTGAGTATATAGATTTTCTTTGTTGTTGTCTTTAAATGATCTAATTGTGATCACGTTGGGCCTGGTATTCTTTATTTTGATCCCTTTTTGTTGTTTTGCTCTTGTTTGAGCAAATTAAAACTGCATTTTTGCTGAGCGTACTTTTGACCACAGAAAACTGCCATTTGGCTTTCCCTATTTGAACATTTCTTGATGCTCGTGTTCTGCCACTGCTGGTTGATCAATACAGCTCCCCACTACTAAATGCTGACCAGTCTTTAATCGATGCCAAGGCATTTTCAACATCTGTCAGCGAAGTTCTATTGAGCATAGAGGTGAACAGGGAAGGACTTGTTTTGGTGTGTGCCAGATTATCATTTTGCCACAGCATGAGAGGTTTCATAACCGGCTAAAAGGGGATCTAAACATAGTGAATTTTTAATTTAATTTAAATGTATTCATATTACATGAAAGATATAAACCCAAGATCCTGAACTGAATTGTAATAGTAAGACCCTTAAACACAGAGGCAAAACTTGTATTAATATAAATAACAGGCCAATGGAATGCCTTTTATTCTTCCCACATAGAAAGCCACTATATGCAACGTTATAATTTCTAGAATGAAAGACATAACCATCAAATACGAAATAATGCCTGTCTCTTGTACTACGTTCTGTTTGCAAGTCCATATGTGAACCCATCCACGATGAGTCACATCCAGCCCCTCTTCACGTTATTTATAAGGCTTCCACTTCAACACATTTATGTATGACTCCATCCTCCCCTGAAACGGCTGCTTGAATAAACCCACAATCATCGGCCCCTTCTAAAGTGTTAACTTCTCCATTAATGCCATTTATTCACCCCTGAGATATTTGTGTAGGGCGTCCTTTGATCTGATCTTTGCTAAAGAAATAAGACTGTTAACAAATTGGTTGTGAATGACCTCGTTGGTTAGTGTCGTTAATATGCATTATTGCTCAACACGGGGGCTGCTAATCTGCCCATGCATGTAGCTACTTGATACAATGAGAAAGCCTCCTCTTGTCCTTTCGAACATTTTTTTTGTTATCATGATGTTAATACAGGGCGTGGATAATAAGCTGCTCCATTACCTCTTTTGAATTGGATTGCCTGCCTTAATTTAGTGTATTAAATCTCTTCCACAGACACTAATGGATATAAGCGTGCTAAAGACCTCACAATAACAGCGGCTCCAACTTTCACATTAAAGTCAATCTATGAAATATGTCTTACCCTCCGATCATCCATCTATCTGACCATCTATTTATCTGACCGACCATTAAACTCCATTTATTTTTTAACCTTCCACATCTTACGTCTTCATCCCAATATTGTAACACCCGTCAAGTTTGTAAATGAAAGCTTCTGCTGTCGTTTTTTATTTTCCTGACCGGCGGAAATTGCATGTGTCATTAATGTCAACCAGCTCAGTGACTAATGTGTTAATATCACACTGTTCCCACTTTGACACTGACGATTCATTGTGTCCCTGTCCCTGTATTGCCCCCTTCCTCATGCCCTGTCTCTTTTCAATAAAGAGACTCTGTAATGCTAACTGATATGAGACATGACCCTTTCACACACCTTGATTTATATTCTCTCACCTCCGCTGATTTAAATACATTCCTGCAACACACGTATTCAACTTAACATAGAAACCTACTTCGACAGCGAACAGGAAAGCGTATGTAAAACAGATACAACACACACAAGTGTCAACAACTGAAGGCCCTTCACAACCATATAATAAAAACTTCCACACCTCTAATCTCTTGACGTTTGATCACAACAACCACATTAGATTTACAAATAGTGTGCATGTTTATTGAGAAAAACAAAGAGATCATTCAAGGGTTTGGGGGTCCACTTCATAAGGGAAATGTCTCCGCGTTCCTAAAAGACTATGATCTATTTCCAACTTTTCTTGCCATGAAAATATTATTTCATCATCATCACTGAGCCCGAATGTAGCATTTCTGTTATGTATGGGCTACTAAACAAGACTGATTTTGACAGTTTCTATTTCCAATTGCCGATGTGTTTTCCCTGACCCGTGGATGTTTTTCTCCAAGGTTGAAATAGATGGCAATAATGGAAAGCCTCTGAAATGAATCAGTAAATCACCCCTTTACTCTTTGTGAACACAAATAACAGTTCCTTTCAACCATACAGAGAAACATCCTACACAATAGAGCATTACACATCACAAAAACTATTAGTGTTGAGATCACCGTAGAGTTTAAAGACAACTGTGACACTCTCAACAAAAACAAAAGATATGATCCTCTCAAATCTTGTATGTATTGAATGGCTGTAGCACTATATAATGCAGTTTGTGTCCACATGAATTATGCACAATTTCAATTTTCGAAAGGTCACTCTACATGATACTTCTCTTTTTCTTTACATTCAAAACTGCAGCAATGTACTATGGGTACTACATGCTCCCCGACGGAACGTTCTGCCTGGCCCCGCCTCCCCCGGGTATAGATGCCAGCTCCTACTATAACAGTATACCCTCAGCTGTCATGGCTCCCCCTATGTCTTCGGAGGCTTTGCCTAATCTGGGAACTACCCCCACGCCTCCTGAAAGTGTCGCAATGGCACCACCTGCTACAGCCCCCTCTCAGGTCCCCAGCTCTGCTGCTGTTGTACCAGAAATCAGGTAGGAACTAATACACATCCCTGGGGAATACCAGTTTCTTTCGTTTTAGTGACATTCAAATTGATTAGTTAGTGCTTTTGAAATTAGTCCCGATCATGTATTGATACATTAATTTATTTGGAGCTCCTGATCAAGAAGAAACTGATTTCTAATGAGCTAATTTACATTTTTAACTAAAAAGCTTTATTTTTAGTGTTTGTTCTATGCATAGGGTATGATGAATCAGTTACTTAAAGTAAATTGAAATGACTATTTTTTCTTTCAACATCTTTAATTTGCCCATAAACAGTTCTAAACCTGAAGCTCAAGTTTCCACACCAGCGCCACAAGCCATCATCCCCCCACCACCCGACTCCCAGCCAGTCATAGACAAGCTGGCCGAGTACGTGGCTAGGAACGGTGTTAAGTTCGAGGCTGGTGTCCGTGCCAAGAATGATCCACGGTAAGTGTTTCTCACCAGAAATAAATCTGTTGCTCCGGTCACATCTCGGTTTTAGAAAATCTTATCAGTAACTTTACTTTAGATATTGCAGAAAGCTCTTCATCATCCATTGGCTTATCTTCTATACAGTAAGTGGTCACCAATCATTTTATAAAGTATGTGTTCTTCCCTCTGTCTACTGTAGGTTTGACTTTCTGCAGCCTTGGAATCAGTACAACCCCTATTACGAGTTTAAGAAGAATTACTTCATGCAGAGGGAAGGAAGAAGCGCTCCAGAGGTATAAGTGTACAGCTTTACTTAATATTTCTGTCCCCAACTTGACACCTTAAGTAAAAGTACTATTCTACACTTGAATGTGTTTGATACAGTCGACCAGTAACCCTTCCATACTGCCAATGAATTCTTAATTATATGGTGAGCATCCTGCCAATGCTTTATCACAGCTCATATGAGTGATCAAAACTCCTACGTTAAACCCTTAATAGCTTGTTAAAGCTTGCCAAGTATCACATTAGTAACAACATTAGTGTCATGGATATTGTTGAAGAGGAGTTTTTAAAAGTGGGCTAAGTAAATGTTCAGTAAGAAATGTCAGGGTAATTATATTTAGATGTTTTCATTTTCTTTATTAGTATAATATTTAGATTCAAAATATCTGTTAAGAGAGTCTTGACAGAGAAACAGACTTGAAATAGAATGGCGAAAAAGAAACAGCCATAACAATTCAAACAATTGACATCCAACATTTAATTAGCATCCCTAAATAGTCTTCTATAAGGGAAATAAAGAACAAGAAAACAATTCTGCCACTGATAACCATATAAACCAAATTGAAGGATTTGTAGTGTTATTTGCTTGACATTTTTGGAAATAATCATAATATATTTATATGTTATCTTAATGCAATGTTCTATACTCATTTCTTTACTATATGCAGGGGTGCAGATAACTGGTACGCAAGTATGCATGCGTGGCAACAATCTGAAATGCATACCGTCACTTGTCTCAAAAAGCACATTTGCGTACCGACGTACTTGTGAAGCTTTTCCAGAAGGCGGTTAGATCACGGACAACAGTCGGTCTCCGTGTGCACAGACAGGGCTGCTGTTAACGTTGGTCTGTACAACGGAATTGTGCCAAGATTACGCCAACCGGCTGCGGAGGGAGACTCCCCCTCCCCCCCCCTTCACTGGAGAACTGCGCTAAAACAGCTGATCACAACGGTCCACACCCGTTGTCACTCAACCTTACTCGCCCGTTGAACCTCCTTGTAACAAAAAGGATGCACACTTCCAGTAGACACTCTAGTAGACGATTATTGCTGTAGTGACTCGTTACGAACTCTGGGTATATCAGTCCCCAACGTGTATTGAAAGAGTCACTTCCGTGAGTCTAACTTCATGCCTCACTCACAACCATGGGTTGAAGACCGAGGTGAGTTCAATACACTGACTTGGACACATAGCGCTTGCAGTTGACCCCCCCCCCCCCCCTCGTCCCACGATTCACCTCATGATAAGTCCTTTCACTGACCCCCCCCCCCCCGCCGATTCACCTCAAGCACTGTGT